ATGATGTGCTGCGAGTCGTCTCGGCTGATTTAATATTGGTTTGAAACATGGCTGCTTCCACCTGAAGCGAGAGCCTCGTAATCTTCCCGGCGCCACCTGTGCTCATGAGGGGACATGGAGCGCGTTTACGTTTCCTGGTCCACACAACCTTCTTCTCCCCTCTGGCGCTAAAAGGTTCCCAGGGGAAGCACATCACTGACGTGCCCCAATCTCCCTTTCCAAAACGTTTAGCGTGTTTGTTTGAGCTGCCGTCTTGCCCGTGTTTTCCGCAAGACAATGACTCAGGTAGCGCTGCACAGAAGCGTGTGAATTAAAAAGCTGCTTGGCTCCTCTGGGTGAAAGAAGGTCCTTTTCTGAGCACGAATCTGAGCGAATGTAATGGAAGGGACGAAATAAGCATAAAATGGTATCTGCCGGTGTGAATCCTGCACCTGCCCTAAGAGAGGGGTGATGTCTCACCGGCAGGAAGCTCACGACAGATAGGTGAGTGTGGCTTTCATGAGAATCATCCGGCTTTCATGTGCCGCCAGAGGGGAAGAGAGCCCTGGGAGTGCTGCTCATCCATCTCCGCTATAAGAGGAACAGTCGCCTCAGGCACCGTAATACAGGAAGATAAAACTCTAACACACACAGACACATTCAAGCGTGTCTTTTTTTTTCTTCTTTTACCTGTCTGGTGTTATACTTCCTGACTTACATTCATCTCTGACTCCTGATCTAAATTTTCCACGCTGCATGACGAACTATTAATCGTCATCTAAATCCTAAAATAACCGGATTCTGACTTTCGAGCCTAAAATAAACCCAACCTTCTTACTGTGGGGCAGAGGCACGCTTCCAAACATGATGCTACACAGAAGAACACGAGGTGGGGCATAACTATGAAGCTGAATGTAAATGATGCATGAACTTGTAAGTTATTTACAGTATGAATAAAAATCTGAAAGCTGTCCAGACCTCATTTTGTCTGGGGAATGTGACTCCAAATTATTTGCAAAAAATATGCTGATTTTTTTTCGCAGAGTATATCAAAATTATTACAAAATATAATGTATTTATTATTATTATTATTATTATAAAATATTCTAAACAAAATGTAGCTAGGGAAGCTAACGTACTTAAGCACAATGCTATCTGACTTGCTATTGGCTGGCATTTGCAAACCAACCAATCCAGGAGTGGCTTTAATATTCCTTGGAGCTGATTGGCTGTAACCCCAAGATCGGAGATAAGGACTGTGGTCTCTAACCTCCACTGGATTTGTATTCAGCCCTTTTTACTCTGACAACTCTGAATAAAATTAAGAGCAATGTTGAGACTGGATCTCATTGTTAAATAAACATCTGTAATCTGAGTGCGAATGCAGCTGTTCTGTCAAAGCCTCGCACGTTTTTCAGGCAACATTAGTGAACAAAAGGCATCATGAAGGTAAAGGAACAAGCCTGAAAGTGAAGCTTAAGCAAACTTTGATGATAAAACAGAGATCCACAGCTCAGGTAAAAGCTTATTCCCGTAATTTTACAAAACATAATAAAAGTTCAAGGAGCATGAAAACTTGTTGCAAGACTCTGCAACTGTTCTCAGATTTTTGCCGTTTTTGATTAAACTCATGACAAAAAACTGCCTTCACAAAAACTGAAGGACAAAAATGCTGTCAAAGGGTAACACTCCTAGCAACAAGCGACAATGTGGGCAGGAGGTGAAAATTAGACATCAAAAATGTTACCTGGCAACAAGGTTTTCTTTTTTTCCATTTGGATTGAATGGAAAGAAGCGATGGCGATCACGTTTAAAGTCGGAGGGGGGATTACCTTAATCCGCCCGCCCCTCACGGGGGGAGAAGAGGTCAAGCACGGCGCATTAGGGAAGCAGGTGGAAACTGCTGCTGAAGGACCCCGGAGAGGCTGCAGAGGACCAATCAATGTACATCTCAATTTTTAATCAGAGACAATTTGAACACTTGCTCGGCTCCTACTGCTGCGGGTTCAGATTTTTAAACAACACATTTTCTTGCGTTTGTATAGAAGAGCAGGGACGCATTTCTGCTCCACACTTTGTTGTTTCTCGTGTTCAGCCAACATGACACACCTGGAAGGTTCCTGCAGCACAGTGCCTGTGTTTCCTGGGTAAAGGTGTTAATGAGGGCTCATAGTGAATGGTGTTGGGAATTCGTTCGGGATAAAACTACAACTAATTACCTGATACGGTTAGTAACTGAGCAGCAAATAGAGCCTTGTAAAAGAATTCATACGACTTCATACGACAGCACTTCTTGGCCTTGTAAGAAGTCATGTAGAAAGAAGAAAAACTGATCAAGGGAGACCAAAATATAATTTTTGGGCAAACAAAAACATGTATGGCTAAAGAACTTTTGCATATATTTCTAACACTATTTTCCATCCATTAAGCTTCACATCAATATGATTAGGTACAGTCCTCTATGGAGATTCAACTTTTTAAACAATGACCTGTTGTAGCCATCTTGTGTAGGGTTGTCAACAACTGATGGACATCTGTCAAGTCAGGAATGTGTATTTTATTTTGCATAAAAACCCTCTTAGCATTCTTATTTAAGAAACTAAATTTCATGTTTTACTTCATTTTAAATCAGGGGTCCCCAAACTACGGCCCGCGGGCCGGATCCGGCCCGCCACGTCATTTGGTCCTGCCCCCTGAACAAAGCCGGATCCGGCCCGCCTGCTCATACCAGAGAGCATTCAGTGTTTTTTTTCATATGTTGTATTTTCTGGTTTATATGTGGATTTTTCTTCAACCACCAGGGGGCTTTTGAGCAAATGTGAAACTTTCCCTCAATGGAATATATACTCGTCAGTCACCGTTTCACTCACGGTTTTTTCCATTTGCATTCTGGGTAAAAATCTATCCAAAAGTGTCGTCGTTTTTTTTTACTGCAAAAACTAAGACCGGCCCCCGACCACAGAAAGGAACAGCTATGTGGCCCTCGCAGGAAAAAGTTTGGGGACCCCTGTTTTAAATGATCCAAATAAAGAGATGCAAACTAATGAAATGTTTCACACTGTGTGTGCAATTTAATAATTAGTTTCACTTCTTGAGCTGAGTTACGACAACATGGTTGCTCAATGACCAATTCAAATAGATCTGGTCAAATTGTGTGGCTTTGCATGACATTCAAAAAATCAGCAAATGTACAAAAGAAAAAGAAAAAAACCAACAACAACCAAATATATTCTTAGTCCAGGCAACACGGCCAGAATTGGATTTTACGCAATAGAAACACAGGAGAGAGATGGAGCCAGATGGCAGAAAGACTGTTTCTGTTCGTTGCTCTGACAGTGAATGTCATCAGTGACAACCAACCAGGCGTACGAGCATCCTGACGGGTATGAGAGCAAATACTAAACAGGCCCTGCCATTTGTGCTACCGACCGTGAATGACTAATGTTTCAGGTCCGAGTGGTAGGAACGTTCGCATGAAACGTTTATTGAACTTATTCTTTTATCCACTTCAATCTCAATGTTATTTAAGAAGAAAAAAAACACATTCACTATATTCAATAATCTGACTTGCTATTGTGCAAATGCTGTTCACTTCCAACTGAAGATGGAATAAAAATGAACACAAGGCAAAACCTGAAATTTCTATGCTGTTAAACTTGCCCAGAACTGCTTACCTTTTCTTCAATCTTAGCAACCACATTTCTTCAGTCATTAACTCCATTTTGTTTCCACACCATTTTGATGATGACGCCTCGTTACCAGGAAGTTCCTGCGCTGGAGTCCCACAGTTCTAAAACCTAAAAGTTATCTGTTAGGTTTATTGATCTCTCTAAATTGCCCTTATGTCTGAGTGTGTGAATGGTTTTCTTTCTTGTGTGTCTCTGTGCTCCCCCCTGTGATGGCTATTTTCAACAATCCATTTTCTGTTTAAGACAAAATAGAAACAGAAATGATTTTTTTCCCCAAACAGTACCACTCCTCCCTTTTGAATAAAGCTGAAAAAATAAAAAAAATTCTGCAAAAAATATGCATAATTTCTCCTCTTCGCAACAGGATTTGACACAGTCATTTGGACAACGAATGAAAAGAGACATGTCTGTGATTTACACAATAATTTATAGAACATCAGAGAAGCCAGATTTTATAATGTTTGCTCAGCTTTATACTTACAGGAGTATCAGCCAGGATGAGAGGAGCTGTGATTGCTGTGTTTCAGTCTAAAAGGTGAGCAGCCTTTTATACATCAGGGCGCAGTTGTTTGGATAGCATGTGGAGTGAAACCTGTAGTTGGCATTTCCGGCAGCGAGTCAGACTTCCTCCATAAAACAGGTGATGAAATTCATCAGGGTCACCTCTCATCACTCAGTAAATGAGAGCTGCCAAAAAGATAAAGATCCCCTCAAACGGGATCCTGTGATTCAAGCTTTTGGAAAAAACTAAACGTTAGTAAGACTAACATATATATAGAGAAAAGACAAAGTATTATGGGCAACTGACTGATGTTTAGTTTGCAAGAGAAGCTCTTGATTTTTCACAGACATTACAAATATCTGAGCATGACCTGGACCTTATTACAGGGACCTTCGGATGTTGCATATTGCAGGTTTTGGGTCTCTGTGGACCAGCCTCGCTCCCCACCGACAGGATTAGACTCGCATAAAATTTTGGATCCATGCACTTTGCACACCTGAGGCTTCCTGTTGTGTTATTTGTGCAACTCCAGAGCAGTTTTTTTCAGGGTCCACTGCCTTCCTGCCGAGCAGCAAGTTGTTCCTTCAGGGAGCTGCTGAGACTGAAACGGCTGAGTAAAAATACCGCAGTGATGAGTTTCTGTTTACTTGTCGCCTTTCAAGCAAAACAACCACCTTAAAGATAAAGTCAGGCAGATCACTGGGAAATAGCCACTACACAATTACACACCTGAAACATCTAGATATTCCCTCCACTGAACACTTACCCTGTGAATTTTAATTGAAAAGCTGAGATCTTAGTTGATAGGAAACTAAACTCATCAAGACAGATTGAGCTTTGATTATGTTTACTCCTCTTTTAAATTAAAACAAGGAAATGGTGGACACAAAGTAAACAATGCTCATCAGGTGTTATCCATAACAAAGTCCTTTCTTGACTGTTTAGCTCAGAATTAAAAAAAAAATAAAATAAATAGGAAAACAGTCAAAAAAATAATCTAAGAATCATGTTCAGTGTTTTAATAAGAACACAAGCAATTCAAGCTACAAAGATTTCTACAAGGTAAATGGATGAATCACATTGAGGCAGTCACTTCTCTGAGGTCCAAACATGTACAAGCGAAAACGCGACGCAGCAGACGGGCTTGAAATGTTTCCTGTAGAGGGTCTGGATGCTGATGAGGATGTTCGCTGTGACTGTGGGTATGGTTGGGAGTCCAGAGGGGCTCAGTTTGGAGGGGTTACGGCGCGGCCCAATTGGGTCTTTTCGGAGGGGGAGGGGGCATTAGCTCAGAGTCCGGGTCAGACGGGCGTTTCCGGCTCTGTGCGTTGACTCCCTGGGCGCAGCGGTCCAGATACTCGAAAAGGATTTCCTTCGTGACGGGTTCCTTGATGCTTTTACAGACAGCTGGGCAGAGAAAAACAAACGGGCACAGCAGGAAGGACGTTATCACAGAGACGCTGACAGGCTTTTCCACCCATTTATAGTGCAACTCGTAAACTTTTTTTTTTTTTTTTTATGTTACAACAAAAAGATTTTTAAGTTTTTTTTTTACAATTGGTAGTCTGTTAAAAAGTGTTTTACTTGATGACTGTTTTTTTCTTTTGTCTGACAAAGTAAGTTGGCACATGCAGACTTTTTTCAGACCTTTGTGGAGGCAAATCAGTTTTTCACGTGTCGGGCCAATCTCCCAATATTAAGGAAATCTAGGTCAATTTATTAGCTCTATTTTCAACTATTTTCTTCCTGTCACTCTTTCATGAAGGCCATATATATTTTTTTAGTTAATTTAAGAATCAACTGATTATTCCACCTGAGCTGTACAGGTTGGCTTCTTGTTCACTTTTTCTGATTGATGATCTCTTATCCAACCTGTCACTGTACGTGGAAAACTGTCTCTCAGTACGTTTGCAGCTGTGCCACACTCTTTCCATTTTTGGATAATAGATGAATTGGTGCTAAAACTTGCAAATCAGTTTTATAATCAAAACTTTTCCGCACTTTTATCCCTGACCTTTCAGGTGATGCTTTAGTCTTTGTGATGGTGTTTCCTCTCAGATATACAAAAAACAGCTGTACTGATTTAGATGCTACTTTACACACATGTGTGCTGTTATAGTAAGTATGGATTTTATTTAGGGGTATCAGCATATATTTTTCACATTTATATTAATTAGATTATTGAAAACCTTTACAATTTTCAATCCAATTCACAGTTCAGAACTACTTTTTGTTGTTCTGTCATATAAAACAGTAATAAACATACAAGGTAACACAGAAGGTCTTTGTACCAAACCTGACCTCATCAGCACTTATACTTTGAGCCATCTTCGCATTAAGTTTATAAAAAAAACGCCCCCCAAAAAACAGGATTTGGATCATTACCCCTGAGACTATGCATAGAAATAGCTCATCCCACTTCACAGCTCCCTTGGCACGTTCATGACCGAGCCACGGTACCAACAGCACATTAATGATTATTTGCAGTTGCTAAATGGAACAAAGTGTTATCAGTCTGCAGAGACATGCAAAGATATCTGTCAAGATTTTTTGATAAAAGAGACTTTTGCCATCTGGCCTCCGAGGCTGACTCGCAGCCCGCAGCAGCATCTAAAGCCCAATAACTCCATATTCTCTTCCATCTTCTACAATCAATTTAGTTTGCGGTTTAAATGCATTTGTCCTCCCTTCTGCTTCAAGTTTATATGGCTTCAGCTTCTGTTTTTATGCTTTGCCTTGTACAGCACTCTGATGTCAACATTTAGATGAAATGCTGTGCTAAAAAGGTTCATCAGACGGGGAGGCTGTGTGCCGTTTCCATCATCTTCTCCTTTGTTTACATACATTTATTTTCTCTGAAAGGTTAGAAGCTTTCAGATGATACAGAACAATGCATGTGAAGATTTTTCTTCAACCGAAACGTTTAATTCCTTTTTTCCTCCTGCATTAGAGTGTGAAATAACCCCCAAAATAACTCTTTGAGACAGAAACAGAAGAATTAATGCCATGTTAATTTTAAATCTCATTTATAAATGCTAACTATTTAAAATGTTTAAGACTATAAGGATCAAGCAGCATCTCAGAACATGGACATTGAGGCAAAAGAGTGAATTTACACCTCATAAAATCTGAGTTTTTAACTCAAACATAAAACTTCAGAATAAGGTGATTTCATCTCTGAGTTTTTCATATGCACACTTTGATCTGGTCAAACCAAACGATAACAGGAAAAAGATTAATATGGTAATTAGAAAATGTGGAAAATTATTATTGTACAATAAAAAAAAGATTTCTTTTTCTTTTTTTATTTTATTACTTGTTGTATTAGTAAAATTATGCACACAAACATGAATAGATCATTTTTGGGGGTAAAAAAATGCTGTACATACTAAAAGTTTTTTTTTTTTTTTTTTAGGAAAGGGCAGAATTTAGAAAAAAGAAAAACAGCAAATATTGTTGAACAATTATATATATTTTTATATTAACCCCTGCAATTTAAACTCTAGCCTTAAGCCCTACACCAAATGTTAACCCACAAACCACTGGTTGATAAAACACAACCGACAGCAGCAGGTGATTCTTCCCTCCACCGTCCAGAAACCAAATCTGATTTTTTTGACAGATAAGGTCTGACAGCATGTCTGAAGACATAAATCTGACAGACTGAACCTCAGGCTGGATGAATGATCGTCTAAAGCCCTCGACTCGGTTTGTGTCATCGCTCATCTTCCTCGCGTCTTCATCTTTCCGTGGCCGCTGCTCATCGTTCGGCAGGAGTTCGGTGCCGACTGGTCTGCACGTCAAAGTTTACGCTCGGACTAAGTTTAACGTACTTTACGACACATCGTACATAACGTAGGTGTGCGGCGAAAAACTAGAATAATGTATGAAGAGCAGCAGGGCAGGTTGAGCTGAGAGAACATTTGTGGAAAATGTCGGATGAAGAATTGAAAAAGTTCATTTACATTCTGTGTTTTGTGCAAGAACACTCTCACCCGAAAGAGCTGAGTGCGTCTATGCTCTGCAGATGGATGCACTCTATCTTTTGAACCTGCTTTAAGGAAACGCCTTGCTTTCTACTTCTTGTTTTTGGGCCACTTATATATCCTGGATACCTGTTTACAGCGGTGGTATTTACTTAAAAAAGGGGGGTGGGGGGGACATTTTATGTAGCAAAATGTCAGCTTCTCTGCTCAAAGAAAGGACACGGATGAAAACAATTTGTCCTGGGCACAGAGTGCGAGGCCTGACGGGTTGGTGTGCACGCTTACACAACAGAACATCTGCCACCTCCACACACACAAGCACACGCACGCATGCATTCGCTCACAATCTCATAACAGGGAAATCTAACTGAGAGCAAAGCCTGATGTAAAATACTGATAAAATAAGCCATTAATCGCAGGCTGACTGCTCGTTTTTCACTTTGATACATCTGCAGATAAAGGAGGAGGTGAGGTATTAATAAATAACTGCAGACGAGGAAGGAATAGATGCTCACCCATGGCTGTGTCATAGGAGTTGGGGAAGCTTTTGTCCACCCTCTGCCTCATAAACACCCAGCTGTTGTTAGCGAAGGTGCACTCGATGATCTTGCTGTCGTACTGTTTCAGCTCTTTGGTTGCCTGTGCAGACACAAAGAAGAGATTCATCGAAAACTGCTAGAGGAGGAAAAGTTTCATTTGTTTTATTCTTTCTAGTTTCTGTAAAAATGAAACGTATGTTGTTAGATTATCTGGTTTAATGGTGATGGCTGTCATTAACAGCATGAATATGCAGAGAAATGACATAACTGGACAAGAGGGAAATCCATGACATTCAAAATAAAGTAAAAAAATAAAAAAATAAAATCACTGAAGTATATTTGAAGTAAAATTTATTTTGAAAAGTTAAAATTTCAATATTTAGCAGGAGTATAAAGAAACAGTGATCAGTATGTATTCAGGTTTTAGTCGGTTTTCTGCAAGTTTCAAACCACAAAAATAATTACAATATTTTTTTCTTTCTTCGATCAGCAGTAAACAAACAATATTTTCAATATCTGGAGCTATTCTGATATTTTTACGTTACTGGTATTATGTATGCTGAAGACACATGATGCCATTTTTTTAGCACAATCAAGTAACTGTATTACCTTCAGTTCAGCTGACTTTGTAATTTGAAACCTTAAAATTGGGCCTCTGTCCCTTTAAGAAACTCCAGCTCTTTCCGACACGCCGCCTTCAGCACGTCCTCATAACAATGCTTCTCATTGTGCTGTTTACAACCATTCTCAGGAGCATTGAACTGGGAAGTAGTTCATATGATAAGCTCAACAGATGTTTGCTAACTGCTGCTGCGAAACCCCAGGTATGTTTTCGATGAGGACGTTACATGAAAAAGTTCATTTTACACAATAACGCCTCTTTAAAAAAAGCGGAAGGCATAAAACTGACAAGAGATTTTAACAGATTGATTACACGGTGCATTCAGGAAAGTATTCACAGCGCTTCACTGTTTCCACACTTTGTTATGTCACAGCTTTATTCCAAACTGTATTAATCTCTTTCCTAAAAATCCTACGCACATGGGATTTCTTCTCTGCATCTATTGCACGGTCACAACAGACACCTGCTCATAATAAACCTGCGTGAGATTGTTTCCTTATGAAGCCATTCTGCTGTCACCAGGTTTGATCAAGAGAAGTCATTGCTGCGAAAGCAATGACAACGCAGAACTGTTTTTTTTTTTTTTTAACCACTGAAAAAGTGATCAACTAAATGTCATCGCATATATTAAACCTGCAGCTTAATGTTTAAATTGATTTCATCTGAGTTGGATTCTTAAAGTGGAAATTAATTGGGCCTGATTGTCTGGTAAAGTGCTTTGAGATCTCATTTGTTCTGAATTAGTGCCAAACGAATGAACTGAATTGAAACAAATAAAAGAAAGTGTCCAGGAAGGTCTCGGATTATTTTGTAATATGACAGAGATACAACATATTCTATCCGTAATGAAACATCAGCACATGCAAACACTAACGCACTTTGAATTGGCTTTGATGCAGCTCCTGACAAAGCAATCCAACAGTTCCCGGTCCACCTACTGAGCTACAAAGGATCGCTAACCTATTACATCATATTCTGCTTTGAAAACCAAAAAAAAAATCAGTGCTGCATACTGTAACACTGCTCAAGTGTACGAAAGTGGCACATCATACTGAAGATCAAGTATGAGTCAAAGAAGACATTTGAGCATCTGTTGTTTATTTGTCAAGGGACTGTGTCTCACTGAGAGGATTGTTGAAACTTGGAAAAATGTAAATCCCTGAACTGCTGGGAACCAGGAAGGCACCCAAAAATGTGCAGCAGCAATGAGATTTTAAAAGAAGCAACAATGGAGGCACAAGATTTAGTATAATGCTCCTCATTGAAGATGGACTCATTCAGGGTAAAAAAAAAAAAAAAAAATGACAAAGACGATGACCTTCAGGGTTCAAACGGAACCCGTGACTCCCAGTCAGAGACTGACAGCGGCCACTGCCAGGAAAGCCCCGACGTTTGGCAAGACACTACAAAGTAAGAGCTTATGTGGTCCTAGAGTGCCGGGCATCTGGGCTCGCAATGGGTGTCGAATTCACACAGGAAGCAAGACAGGGTATGAGGAAGGAAGGGAGAAACTGAGAGAAAGAATGCAGCACATAGAGAGAGAGCAGATATGTTTAGACTTTCAGAAATCACATTTTACAGTGTAATTATAGTTAAATTTTGATTTTTTTTTTATGTCAGTATGAAGATGGGGTCTGGTGAGCCAAACATATCTTTCAGCGGCAGAATCTCTGAGCTCTCCTAAAGCTTCCTGCAGCAAACTGCCAGAAAACTGTGAAGGGCATCGCAGGCAGGCAGGCAGCTAACAGGCTGGATCTCTCCCTGCTGCTGACGGGTGACATGTTGGCTGCCATTTTTCATCACCACTTGGTGCCTAATCCATCCAAATCTGTCTCATTATGGCGGCACACGTGTCCCCCCAGTTATCAGGGACATTCCAACTCTTTACAAGTCTGTGCAACACTAGTGTAGGGATGGTTCAAAAACAGAATTAATGCACCAACAGCATGTATCTGATGCTGTAGTTAGGGATGGGACACCAAATTCAGACTCTGTTATAAAGTATAGATGGACGAATGGATGGATATGAGGACAGATGGTGGATGAACAGAAGAATGCATGATGGATGAAGAGAAGACAGACCTATGGATGGATGAGTGGATGAATACTTGGAAAGGTGAATGGGGGGGATGCATGAATAAATGAACAAAAGAATAAATGGACAGATAGATGGATGGGCAGTCAGATGAAGCCTTGACAAAAGTGAAAGAATGATTAGACAGATGTTACATGACTGGTTGGATGAAAAAAGGGAGAAATGGACAGGAGAATAGTTTAACTGCTAGATGAACAAAGACGGATGTTGGATTGACAAACTGATATTTTCAGATAAAGGAATACAGCATAAATTATTTAAGGAAATAAAAACGTGTTTCAATACTCTAATTCCTTTTTCTCTCCTTTATTTTAAACACCTGGAAAATATTTTGACACCATTTTGTCTTGTTCCAGGCTGCAAGCAACTACTGTTGATGAGAAACTTTTTTTTTCTTTCAGTCATCAAACAATTCATCAATGCATTTTAATGAACATTCACTCTGCAGAGGTTTGTAGTTTGAATATATTATTCCTTTTAAAGACAGGAACTGGGTACGGGTTCATGTGAAATCAACACAATCTCTAGAAACTTAGCTGGAGAATTACAGCATACTGCCATGACAGCATTAATCATTCCTGACATAAAAATGCCTTCATAGTCTCAGTTCTGCCACATCAGTAGCGTCTCAGTGCCAGTGTGTCATCAGATAATTTAAATAAAGACTTCATTTCCATGTAAGATGTTAAACTCCAAGAAATATCACTCTTACCCAGAGATCCGAACTATTTCATCCCTGCCGTAATTTTATAACTGCTTTACATATTACATCTGTAGAAAAACGGTAGGTTAGGTTCGATAATATATTCAGCCATTTGTAGCTGTTTAGTTGGAGAGCTATTCATTTTCCCTGGCTTATTGCTATCTTGTCTTAAATTGTCAAATTGTCTTCTGTAATGAGGCCTTTTTTGTGGTTTCAAAGAAATTAAAATTATGCATACATGTTTTTTCAATGACTTAAAAAGTGCACACTGACATATTTTAGCTTGCAGTGTTTTTAGTTTAATGACTTTGTGGTTAGTCTCAATAGATGTGTAAATGTGCATTTCTGTGTGTGTCGACTACTGTGGCTTTCAGGTAATATAATATCTTAAGAGCCAAATTTTCTGGTTAAACAAATGGCTAGACAGATAAATAAATGTTTGCTTTAGACATTACTGTAACTTTCTCTACGTTTCTACAGCATGCATTTACCATGGCAACACATCTTATTGATAAAAATACCTCTTAGTCTTGTAGTATATCTGTGACAACATAATAAACATTTAAAGAAAGCATTTATATGTCGGTACATTCAAAATTTGGCATCTGATCTTAATCTAGTCAAACTGCTGCAACACTTGGGTATCCAGTATATTGTGCCGAAGAGACAAATCGACATTCAGAATTAGACGTTTTCCTGAAAAGGTCTTTTGTTTTCCTACAACCAAACCCACTTTTGTTTCTTTCTGAAGTTAAATCAGAATAGAGTCGCAGGTCCACGGCTCTCGGGTCCATTTTAATAAAAGAACACAAGATGAGACGACGTATAAGTGGGAAGAGGATATAAGATGCAGACGTGTGAATATGAACAGGTTTCCAGGGAATAACTTCACTGATGAACAGTATGAAAATCAATGTTCAAACTTTAATATATGTTGTCAGACAGAATACAGTATTTGCCTTCCGAACAGTAATATCTCATCCAGTGAAAATAAAGAAAGCTGGGCCAAAAAAACCCAGCAGACCCAGAGTGGATCATCTTCAGGGTTCCTACTTGGGCCAATAAGATCGAGACATCAGGGAAGTCAGAAAACAAATAGGATTCCCGATTAACCAATTACACAACAGACTCATACTTTGAGTGTGTGTAAAGCTGATCATTACCTCTCACATCCAGTTTGACTGTTCAATCAGAGACTAATAGGTGAAAAACAAGGTAATGAAGTGCAAGTGAGCAGGAGTTCAGCTCGTTAGGTAAACAAGTGGCTCTGAGCAATAGCACCTTAACAAAACCTTAACAAATGTCCTTTAAACTTTACAAACTAAATGGGCAAGTTGCTGTCAAAAGCAGCGATTTCTATGGGTACCACGTTCAAATATTCAGTAACTTCATGTTTTTAATCCTCTATCTAATATATTAGGCCTGTGGGCTATAAAAATTGATCTGAAGAACTTTAATGACACTTAAATGATGGTGAAGCAGAGAGAGTCACACAGCGATGCCTTCAGGAGTCACATAAATTGGAGAGCTCAGTGAAGGAAACAACAGTCAAAATCATTTCAGCACCTGGCGGTGGAGGTGCATGCTGGGAACCCATCTTAGTTTCATCAAAGCTGCAAGGTTTTTTTTTTTAGGAAACTGCTCTTATCCCCGTCACTGGTGGGTTCGCCTGCCAGGTAGTGTTCAGATTATTTATGATTAATAATCTGTATTCACAGGCCACATATACCTCCAGCAGAGCAAGTAGACACGAGAAAGCATTGAGACTTGACTAAAAAGAGGAACCGTAAAGTCTTTAGAAGAGATTTAAAGTGTCTCATAAAAAACTGCAATAGGGATTTTAAATTTGAGTCAATTTTAGCATCATTTTTAAAACAGTGTTGGATTATATTATAATTTCAAGCCTAATAGGGACTTCAGTTATAAGTAGTTTTCAATTATTTTTTGCTTTCGACCTTCAAAATAACATTAGCAGGTACATTAGACCAGACAAATGTTTTATCCTGAGAATAGAAACACTTTCGTTTATCAGCATATATTCATCTCAACTCATCCAGCTGAAAAAAAAAGAAAGTCAATAAACACACCTATTGTGTTGGTGACCATGTTTCCATCCTGAACAGATTGCTGAAGTATTAGGCTACATTTTTGGTCTTGGTTTAGACAGGACTAATAGAAAATATGTTTTACTAACATATTTTAATGCAAATCTAGTATGTTGTGCGTGCATAAAATGTAGAAAAAAATGTATTCCAATGCTTAAAAAATACAGCACCGTGCTTTGAATGACATACACATTAAACATTATTGTTTTAGCTGCTCTCTGCTCAGCTTAAAAACAGGAATTTATAAAGAAAACACAGATTTCAAATTGCAATGAAATGTCTCGGTGGGGTCACAGTAGAAAATAATCAGACTGCACAAAAACAACAGAAATCAGGAGGTACATGTCTGACAACCAGCTCTGAGTTTGAAAACAGAGGGAATAGTTGTTGAGAAATTTTACATAAGCCTCCAAAAAATGTCTAAAAGTAACATTTAAGATCAAACTGTGTGGTTATAGTTATGCATGAGAAATGCACCTCCTCTTGGATTCTTTTTTTTTTCTTGTTAAATACAGGCTTATTTTTCATGCAGCTGCATCTACTGTTTAACATAAAACGCATGCAGCGTGTTGTGTGCCGAAAGGCGAGGAATAAACTTCAAAGGAATGTTTTCGACAACATAATTCTCTTAAGGCATCTGTTTGGTGAAGGCGCACCAAAATCTTGATATCATCATTTTAAAGTGCTTGGAGTTTCGGGGTGCTGTGCGGTGTAGAGACAGATCACATAACTCATATGGGGGATTTTAGTCCACAATGCCGGCGTTCAGGATTGGTGTTGAGTTTTGCAACCCTGAGCTATCATCTAGGATCAAACAAACTTAAGGGTTTCTGAGGGATGCTGTGGGTTAAATTTGAAATATTATAAGATCTTTTTAAGGATCACTAAGATTTAAACTTATGATCACTATAAAAAAGACTTAGTTGTAGCACATTAATTTAAGCAAGTTGGAAACTTGGACCCACAGCGGGGTCCGACTTCAAATTTGGGAATTTATGAGACAATTTAAGGGGAGAAGTATGGCAAAAGCTCTTGTCTGATGGAGCATAACAAACTTATTGACTTCAGTCTTAACATACATAAAACATACATTAAACCAGCAGAAATGTATTCACAAGACAAATTAGAAGCACTTTTATAGATCAAACAGTACATAGTAGGTGATTTTATTTTATTCCTAAAATTCATTCAGGTTTTAAAAAATTGCAAACAAGTAAAAAATATTTTCAGCAATAGAAGAGTTTTCAAAGGCTGTGCCAGTAAATCCATCTAAAAGCTCCTTTCCAAAATCATTTCCTTTAGGAACAAACAGAAATTACCACAATAAAGGAGCCAAGTTTGAAAAATTACCTCAATAAAGCAAGTTTTTGTGAAAATCCCGCAATATTTTCGAATAACAGAAAGGTTGGCTTGATTTCTTTCACCGGCAGCCAAATGCATTTCGATGAGCTGTCAGCCGAATGTTCCGAATTGCATCTAATCGGAGCTTCAAAATGACTGCGATGCCCAGAAGGAAGGAGATCAATGTCAAAGATACAATCCGGTGGCTCACAGCAGACAACAAACTCACACCCTCACTGTGCAGAGGTGTTGGATTTAGCAGGAACAGCGTCCTGATTGAAAGCACAAGTCCTCTTGTCCTCTGCTAACATGTAATCGATACATTTTTAAAGCAGATTAGCACTTGGGTCAGCTGTAAACAACGTTTTACTAGAAAAGAGTGACATGAAAACTGATGTAGAGACAGTCAAGGGACTGCAGGACTTTTCAGGCTACAGACTAAGGAGCAAACAGAAAACAGAAGTCTGCAACTTTAATGGATTGTGCTCCTAAATAGTAACAAACTACACCCTGTAGAAGTACCTCATCAACAATAGTACATTTTCAGAAAAGACTTGTAATAACAGAACATATGTATCATATTACTTTTCCTTTAGATGTCACCATCAGGCTGCCCAATCCAAAACTGCAGAGAAACTGATTGCTGGAGTTTGAGTTGATAAAAATGACAAAACTGAGAGCAAAAAATGATAAAATTGTATTCTTGTTGCTGACTGGGATAAAATGTATGGAAAAATGATAATTTTATTGCTCTTCAAACGCGGTATACATGTGAGGTGATGTGTTAGTTCAGTAGAAAGCTAAATAACGTAGCTGAACTTGTAATTATATCAAAATCACAAAAAAGGAACAAATACAAACATTCTACTTGGTAATGCTTGATGTTTGCACTGAATATGCTGCTATAGGAAATTTCTTTTAGCACATTTTACCCAAACACTTGCTTAGTTGTTCTTTTTGTAATAACGTTTGCTTAATTACTGGTATTTTATATTTGATTGAACCAATGTCATGTACTTTATTTATCCTTAATTGCATCTGGCTGGTGAAGCACTTTGTGCAGGAAAAGTGCTAATAAATAAACTTGACATTGACTTGTTTTTGTTCCAGAAACTGCTTAACAGGTGAATTTCTAAACCTCTTGCAAAGTCAAACAGCAGTTAGGTTATATTAAATATTGTAGAGATGTGTGGCAAAACGTAGCTTTTTCAAAAGCACATTAAACCTGTAGTCCATATATTTATATTTTTCATATGAAAAGAGCATATTAAAGAGTATTTGTGCAAATATGTTTCTTCTTCTATGACAATGCACTATTATTGTTGGTAGAATGCCTTATTGGGAAGGCTCAAAAAGCAAAATAACATTTTATTTTAATGTTTTGCCATGTTACAACCAGAAACTTAAAAATGTTTTGTTGTTTTTATGAGGTGGACAGAAGCAGATTAATGTATAACTGTGGAACGCATTTATTCTGACACCTCTAAGTAAAACACAGTCAAATCAAAAGCTTCAGAAGTTAACCTTTTTAATAAATAGTCAATCTTGTCAGTATAAAAACAGCCTTTCTGTGAAGGCCTCTGAGATGATGATGATGATTATTATTATTAAAGATGATGACTGAAGCTAAATACAGATCAAATTTGGAATGAAAACCTGTTAAAAACTGCAGATAACTTCACTTTGGGGCTAAGAATCACCTACACCATAAAATACAGCCAGACTATAAAGAAATGGGTCTGATCCAAAGATATTCATGTGTTATATCATGTTGCTGCATCACAAAAAATTCCAAAAAACACATCTAAGATTGTGGCTGTAACAACACCAAATGTGTACAGCTTTGCGTTTGCTGGCATTATTGATGTCAGTATAGCAATATAATCATTTTTTCATAATGACATTGCAATGAGCTTCTCATGAAAGAAAAATCGTTTAGGCAAATCAAATGAATCGGCTGACTCAGCACAAACTTTTAAATTAAAAGCGGTTAACTTCAAAACAGAGCGGAAGGTGGAGGACCGCCAGCATGAAGATGAATCCAACAAAGCAACACATTTATGTCCTCACCCTCATCGTTGCAAAGGGTCTATCGTAGTTTCCAACGTAGAGCAAGCCGACGGTCTGTGGTAACAGCCTGGAAAGGCAAAAAGATCACGGTTAACACCAGCAACTCCCCCCCAGTGCAGGATCTCAACACTGAAGTATGTGAGTGTTAACAGCGTTGGAAAGAAACCACTACTCCACTTCCATTTACCAGCTAGTAACAGAATGATAAGGATGTGAGATTACACCTCACTGAGCCCTTCTGTGTGTCTGCACAGCTTGATGTCCCTCTACCCACAGAGTGAACTACAGTATGGGCATGTTTACAGTACAGCACTGCAATACAAAGAACAGAGAATACCGGCTTTTGGAGTACTGGTCTCAAAACTTTAATGAGATTAAAACGTGCAGTAGGTGAAGGACTTGAATGCCAAGAAAACAAAAATTCTCAAAAGCAAAAAGAGAAAAAGGTCAGGTTTTGAAGCATGATCTGTGTTCCTTAGATGGATGAAACAAACATCAACTTGTTCTGGAACAATAAAAAGGCTTTTGTGTGATGTTTTACAGTGACATTGAGTACGATTTCTGAAAGGGTTTTAATGTCTCACTGCTGTTTGGAGCAATTATCTTACCTAAACCCTAACAGAGGGGTTATTTTTGTCTCTGTAACTTAACGCAGACCTATTAACCCCTCCTGGGCAAAGAAGCTACAAATTAAACCAGCAGTCTATACTGAATTCCAAGTTGTAAAATCAAACAGAAAGCAAAGTTGGAGGTAATATGTGTGTAAATAAATGTTTTGTTTCGACCCTTCATCAATTTCATCCCTCCAGCTGCAATGACAGGCATAAAACTGAGCATTTTTATAACACGGGTCCTAATTTTTCATATTTTAAGTGGAAAAAAACATTGATGAGAAACAAATTAGCATTCCTAGATCAACTTCCAAGACTTCCTATCATTTTAGATACAACAACACAAATGCCAAAGCTACAATTAATCACAAAACTATTCATATCCTTAAGAAACTGTAGATTTAAAATTATGTTCATTCAATCTCAATAGAAATTGATAGAAATTAAGAGTTATCTCTTAAAAGAAAAATATCTTAAAGGACTGTTATTTTTTATGTTTTTAATTTTCTTTTTAATTAATTTGGCACATAAAAACATCTTTAGTCTTTTTTCAATAAATTTTAATTTGCATCACAGAAATAAAACTCTTTTTTCTAATTGCAGAGCAACTTTTTGAATGTTTCCCTTTAGTGATGAGCTCAAAATCTTTGAGGCTGGAAGGCCTCCTCACTATTACCTTAATATTTAGCTTCAGGTAATATTAACATTCTCTATTACATTCTAATGAGGACAGAAGCCAGGCTGCTCCAGAACATTAATATTACTATGAATAAGAAGAAAGGTAAACTGCAGATTGCTTTGATCCTAAATTATTTTGGTCTCAAGTGAACAAAATAGTGTTTTGGTCCAAACAAGAGCAGCTGTGTAGGCTAAAAGTTCACAAAGAAATAGTCACTAAGATTCATTAATAGAAAATGTGCATTGCCCTCAAAGAAAAAATGAGGAATTATGAAAGGCTGTGAGCTAAATGAATCAAAACCTAAAAGTGTTTACAAGAGACAAAGAGAACCTAAAATTATTCCATAAAAAAGGAAAAATCTAATAAAGATAGGACCTCAGGACCTCAGAGAAGCATCATTCTTTGGTTAATCAAATTACTGTAAGGCCAGTTTGTAGATAATAGCTTTTTTTGTGGGTTCAAAATGTTGTTAACTATTTGTTCCAATAAAGTGGGAACAAATAGTGTTTTTGCCACTGCCTAAAGATGAATCTGAAATTGTTTCTCTGCTGAAATAATGGTTTATGCAATGGGAGCCTTTCTAAAGAGAGATAACACATAGGAGACTAGACAGGAACTGAAACTATCCCCCCAAGAGACTTAAAATCAATTCTTATGTGATATGTCAAAACTGGCAGCGATGGCCAAAACAACAACAACCAAGTCAATTTCCAAATATTTCCAGAACAAACCGTTTGTACCTCCCAGATTACCAACAGATGTCTTAATCGCAGGGTTTGCTTCCCCTGCCCACCATAAAAATACAACTAATTGTCGCTGCAGCTTATTTCAGGCACTGTTTCTACAAACACTGACACAGGTTTTATATTAGTTACCCATTTTTAGCATCAAAATAGAGGGGGATGCAAAGCCAAATGGACATCTAAACAACAGGGCAGCTCCGCAGTCTGGTCCAGCTAATTCTCAGATCTCAAATGGAGCTGAAATCGGAGACCGTCCTCCCAGCCGCTCTCACCCCCTTCCTGCGTAATGATAGCTAGCAAGGGGAGGAAGGAAGCAGCAGTAGACATTAAGGGGGCCAAATAGGCATATTTTAATGTGCTTTGTCCAGTGCCAAGCCAAGTCCATTTCCATCAATAGCTGAACAGCCCCTCTAGGGCTTCAGGAATCTGCAGCACTCACAAACAACAAAATTACCTTCATTTTGACAGCTTCTCTTAAACAACAGTAAGTCAATGAGGTTTTCCCAAAGGGATTGGAATACAGACTGAAACAAATGGGGCTAAATCAAGAAAGCCTCACCGGAAGAAGCTTGCTGTGTGGACGTTTGCAAGCTCTTTCACTGCGTAACGTTCAACTTGCACACAAAACGCAACTATTTGAAATGACATGAAAACATCCGCTTTCTTTGAAGAAAGGTCGAGATAAATTGTTGTAAACAATACGTGGGTAAACACCAGTAAATATCTCGGGCTAAGGATTCATCAGGCTGCTTAAGCAAATCCATTATCAAAGTAAAATTAAACAGACAATAAACAAAATATGATTCAAATAAAAATTTTGGGGAATAAAACCATACAGCATCATCTAACTGCTTTACAGTTGAAGGAGTATAACACTTTGGAGTCATGATCATGCGTATAACACCGGGTTTCTAGGCTGCGTTGAGAGAGGCATAAATATTCAGAGTCTTACCTGCAGTACACAGCGTTAAGTGCACTTTCAGTTAGAGAATAATAATGGAGAGCTGATGCTCAAGGTGGAGCCACTTTAAATGATTAGCCTACTAAAGTAATAGTAAAGTTTTCTTGCTATTTTTGTTGCACCTTTGCTTTTAAAAGGTTTAAACATCTTTCGTCTACCAACATTTATCAGGCAAATTACCTTTCAGAGGCACAGGCATTTTAACTGATGGCTTTCAGCTGGAGATTGGTTTTTATTAAGCCATTTTTTGAACACTATCTAATTACTTCCAGCACCAGAAAGTGTCATTACGTGCCTAATGGTGTGTTGGTGGCCCTTTCTCTACAAAAACAACCCTGACTCAGTCGTGTAAGTTGAAAGGTAGAGATTTCATGGATTATTTCTCCAGCACATATCACAGCTGCTTGACTGAAATGAGAGCTGGAGAATTTTGAGGTCATGTCATCAAACTCGTGCTCCTCAAAACATCAGTGAAGCATCAGCTAAGATTTTCTTCCCCCCATAATTCATCTTGAATGTCAATGTAAAAGGCGATGTAAAAGAAAAGGAAGCAGACTAGATCATTCATTTACCATCAGGTATGAAAACCGTAGTTGGTAGAACATAAAGTCTATGGCCTCAATCAAAACCCTGCATTTGTATCTATAGATGTAAAGTATTATCAAATATGTACTATTAAACTATTGACTCTTCAATAATCATCCTATAAATGTTTAAATGCACACAATGTTGCTATGCCCTTGTATAACACGACACAAAATCCTAAAAAATGTGATTCTCTGTGATCAAGACCTGGCTTGAACTACAAGTCTGCAGTGATTGAAGTCAATCTATTCATAATGGCAGAGACTTCAAAGTCTGGCTCCAGATTTGTTCTGCAGGATTCTGCTAGATTGCATGAATGTCAGAAACCCATCTCTCTCGCCATCTTACGTTTTACAAATCGAATCCTTCTTTGCTGTGTTAGAAAAACTGGAGCATAAAAAATCTCCCTCAATCTTCCAGCCTCTTCTCAATTTTCTAATTTCATTCACTTTGGAGGCAAGGTTTTGAATTCACTCTGCGCTGAAGCTCACCTTAATGCTTTTACAGGGCATGAACTTGACTAGAATCCTATAGACTAAATATGGATCATGATGCTGTAATGGAAATGATTCCTCGGAATAGAAAGGTGGTGCGAGAAGCTTTGGGCAACAGCCTTGGGAGAGGTAATTCAAGCTACCCAAGCTCCTAAAATCCCAGTGCATCTATTGAACTATGATATAACCATTACTCATCCTGCTTTCTGAGGGAATGCTGGCCAAAATTAGTAATGAAACCAGAAATCTATACAATACTTTTAGGCACCATCCTTAATTAGGATTCTGGCAATGTCTCTGCAATTGCTCAATATTTCCATTTTATCCTTTTCCGTTTCTTCCCTCCTACTGCCACACAATAATCACTGTCTGCCTCTGTGCGTGCTTTCAGAGAAGGTAATAAAACTTTCAAGGCTGTATGCCTCAGTGGTGCAACAAGATGTGCTCAAGGATTGACTGTGTGGGCTGATGAATAAACAGTTGTTACCTCCATCTCTCTCTTCCAGACAGCAACTAAGCAGAGATCTGAAAGCCTACACCGATACTAAGCAAGTCGTGGCGATCGGTACTCTGCCAGCAAAATTTATCTTTTGGGAAAATATCAAAAAGATCTGAAATGGCAACAATGATTGTCTGTGTTCTCCCACACACAGGGGAGGAGTAAAGACGCTAACAGGCTGGCCGTCTTTCGAGTAGAATGAGCGGCTGTGCCCTGGTGTCATCCTCGGAGTATGTTGTTGGTAAATGGAGGTGGGCTCACTCATGGCTAAAGAGCTGGAACAGTCACAGAGGTCAAAAGGCTCTCAGAGGAAAGATGACAACAACTCAGACAACAGGGGACAATGTGGTGCTCTGAGTCGACAGAAAAGAGTAGTTTACTGAACAGCCAGACTATTGGTTACTTGGGGTTGTGCTCAAATGCACTAGTGGTTTAATTTACCGTGCAGATAAAAAACAAAAATCAACATGTCTCGAACCACTCAGTCCATTCTTTGAACATTCAGCAGATCAGCACTTTAGGCTCCAACAACCATATTGGATTCTGCCAAATTACCTCCAAACAGCATTAACTTCAGCCAGTTGTGCTTATCCTGTTTAGATCCCTAAAGCTTTTATTTTGCCGAGACGTGATAGATTAACTAGTTGTGTTAACAAGCAGTGTACCTAAAGAAGTGGCTGGTGAAAGGATTGGTTTTCAGGCCTACCAATTCAGCCTCACCTGTATCATTTGTATCAGCAAATTCACTTAACACCAAATTCAAACATGCAGAGTGAAGATGAACTAAACTAAAATGAAGGTGTGAAAATTGTTGGCATCCTCATCCCAACTGAACAGAATCCGCTGCATTATTCTGCTGTTACTGCGTCGAAACATCTGGTTTACACTTTGTTTATGTCCTCAAGTGATTGTCATCATGCAGGAGGAACAGCAGAGTAGAGACTGAAAGAATGTTTGTCCTATTTTGTGGCTCAGACTTTATTTGAATTGTCTGTTAAGAAAATAATGGTTTCCTTATGAATTACTGAGTACAGGCAGATCTGACGTCCAGTGGAATCCACAGTTTAAGGCAAGAACTGCAGTAAATGTCATATCTCTACTGTAGAGAGATAATACTGTTTTTCATGTATCTCCCATATTTCATATAAAAAATTGACTAAAAAAAGTCTTCTAAAGAAATTGCTACATTTTCCTCCATGCTGTTCAGGAGATTCTCCCGTCAACATTGAGAATGCATAGCTTTTTAATCCAGACTATATACTTCGTAATCATCCGCTATTGACATATTCCATTATTAGAATTGCTAAAGAGCACCTCGTCACATAAAGTTTTGACACATTTCCTACTTTTACAATAGCTTCGCATTTCTAGATTCCAAAGTGTATTTGTGTGGTCCAAAATATCTTTCAGGTTCTGATTATCTTTTTAACAACCAAATTGCTTTTCTGCAGTTATGTTTATCAGGAGCAGGGCTTGAATCTGCAGTACTGGAAATGAATAATTAATGTCCCACAAAATTGAAAGAACTAGAAGGACAAAGCTTGTACAGCAAAGTAAAAAGTGCCCGACACAAGATGGCAAACGGGTGCACACAGGCAACGATGGAGACAGAAGTTATCTTTGTCAGAGTGCGGCTGTACTGCAAAGGAAGAAATTAAACCCCAAGGGGGAAGAAAAGACATGAAATGAAAAAGAAAGTTTTAACGTCAGAGAAATTTAACGTGGTTTTAGGACAGCTGCATCCACAGCTTTTAATATATGTGTGCATGTAAGAGTAGCTTTCTCAGTGTTGTGTTGTGTTGTGTAACGAAATGATAGGTGCTATTGGATTTGTCAGGCAGAGCGTTGTCCTGGCAACAGCCACTCACCCCTCTCCTCCGACTTTGGTGATCTTGAGGCGAAAGTCCACAGAGTTGAGGTTGGGGGGCTTCCACTTGAGGATGTCGTCACATCTCCCAGCTTTGTACCTCTGTGGAAAGGACAACAAATTTAACACCGTAGAACGGATTTGATTTTCCAGAAAACATCAGCGACAATTTGACACATCAACACGGTGAAGAACCAAATCGCTGAAGGACTTTTTTTGGGGGCGAAAGTTAAAGAAAACCCCTATGAAACGGACTCTCTACTAACAAGTCCTGTCGGCGTAATGTCTGGCTGAAATAGATTAATACAAATATTTATGCACAATGATTCACCCTGACTCCAGGTTTTACATCACAACTATGTTTCACCGTGCACCGGCGTACAGTACGAGACCGCATCCTTCCTTCTGCAGCTTGGATTATTCATGTGCGCCTGACATTTCGAAGGACGTGAATCAAGCGCACTGAAACATGAGGAATGTAAAGGCATGACGACGGGTGGAGGCGGGAACAGATGACCAAATTCTGTCACTGTCAGGTTGCCAGGTAACAGAAGTCTCCTGCGAGGGAACGTGTGAGAAAACAGACAAGATTCCTCAGGAGGACCTGCACTGTCACAGTGCATGAAAAAGTAAAGAGGGTCTAGACTCGGCCCTCGTATACCCCTGTGGAAAGCGGGTGGAAAGTTAGGCCACTAAGGCAGAAGAAACACAGAAAACCGGATTTTGTGGAGTTGTTGTGTTTTCTGGATTATATAAAACTCAAGGCACTTTCACACAGCTTTCCCTCAACCAAATAAAACCAATTGACCTAGAGATTAAAATTTAAATGTATGATTTTATGCCCAAGAGTTTATGAGCAAACCCTGAATTCAAAAACACTGAAATAAATTATTTTTGAAAGGGATCTTTCAAGCATTCACAGCATTCACTTTTTTAGCATATAACTGGGATTTTGTATCAGCAAATGAATTGAAATACCTCTGATTAGTAACAGTGATGCAAAATTGACAGTACTTTGTACAACAACAACAAAATACAAAAAATGCCTCAAACTGCTGAGCTGAATATAATGAATAGAAGTAGAAAAGTTTAATAATTTGGAAAATCAGCTTCCAAACACTATTCTGAATATATGAGGTGATGCAACTCGGTGGTAAACATGCAACCGTCTTTTTTTTTTATAGCTAGTTGATGCCATCAAATCAAAATTTCTGTAAGCTTCAGCGGCAGTTTCAATGCTTTACATGGAGGCTATGTAGCATTTCAAATTCAAATCACACAATGTGATGCAAATAAGGAGCCCCACAAACTCAAAAAAATATTTAAAAGTTGTCAACAGCATGAACTAAAAGTCCCAGAGGATCTATTCAGGTTTGTTCCCAACCCTGTGTGCTAAAATCTGTATGCTACCACTTTAAACTACAGTGATATCTTCTCAAAATGAGTCCATGCCAGAGGAACCATGGCAACAACTTTATGAAAGGCCTATCAGACTGCAGGTAGAATCAACAGACAGCCTTCAAATTCATTTCTAAATGAAAATGTGTTGCCTGATGCACTTGCTCTTTCATTACTATTGTTAGTCTAGTCAATAAGTGATTGCATATAAAAAAAGTTTATTACTGAAGCGACCGTCTGTGTCGACCTTGCCGTCAGGAGCATATCTCTCGTCTATCACATTCATTTTCAAGTAATGAGGTGCCACTGCATAGAAATTACCTGCTGTTTCAAATCAGAATGTCAGGGGCTTTGACTTTCAGAGTGTGAGGGGAAAAAATGGAAGCATCCATATAATACATTAGTAAATGTCTTATTTCACTTCTAAAAGCAAAATATGACGGGTTATTAGCCTCGTTGTAGATAAAGTAAAGACATTTGGGCTCAGAAAAACACATTTCTGCCAAAGAACTCTAAATGTTGAGAATCATTTCACATATTTACAAGAAAAAAACTGGGATAAAATCTGGTTTTGAAATCTTGAATTAGCAATTACTAAATCTTTCGTGATAAAAGACATACATTTCCAATATTAAAACAGAGATATTTCCTGACACTGTAGAGTCAGAAATTTGTAAAACAAAACCCTCAGAAATTATTGATTAGTCATCCTTTAATTATTGTTTTTCCTTTTATTTTACAAAAGTCCAAATAATCTTTCATAGAAAAATAACGTAAATGTATAACAAGTGTATCTGATGTCAAATATCATCATCTTCCAAAAACAATGGCATAAATAATTTTTTGCCAACAGTTGTTTTGGCAAAAATATCACCACTTCTTTCTTTACAAAAATGCTTTTGGCAAAATAAAAACTATATATTTTAGGAAAGTGACAATATGAAATCTGTTTGATACTTAATGGAAGAATAACAAAAAGTAGTGATAGTCAACAATAAAAAAAACTTATAAGGGATCAAAAACAAAGAAGTTATAAAAAATGTAATGCAGTTTGATTTTTAGTTAGTTTTACAATATGAAATTAACAATACTGAAAGACCAAACACACCATTTGTCCCAGGAACTATTGGCTATCCTAACTGGGTTTATGTCTTTCAAATAACATACCAAGCTGCAACATTTCTTCAACCTTTTTCCAGCTCTATTGAAATCAGCAATACAGAAATAAAAGTGCATCAATGAACTGACAACTTGTGTCAAGTTCAATATTTTCATAGTAAAAGCTTTCACAGAATCCAGCATGAGGTGATAGTAGGTGGCAAAGGAGCTCTTACTGTGTTAGCATAAAAAAATCGACTCCAGCCGAGCTCTTTAAAACCTTTTTTTTTTTTTTTTTTGGATCAAGATAAATATTGAATTTACAGCAATAAAAATATCACATAGTATTTTGATTCACAAAGCGTTATCTATAGAAAAAAAAATCCAAATTCATCCAATACGACACCACAGAGAACATCCCTGCACTGCCTACACAAACATTAATGGCCCAGCACCTCTCATCACGGAAAGAATATGACTGAACAGCTGCAGCAGGGGCATCATCAGAGGAGCTATAGCTGAACAGCAGTGCTATAAAGGTGGAATGGTTTGTGCAATTTGTGCAAAAAAAAAAAAAAAAGCATGAATAAATAAATATATAAAAACAACAGGGGCGTTTTCAAGAGCTAAGGCTCTGCAAAAATGTTAAGAGTTACAACCTCAGCTTGGATTTTGCCTAACCAAACCTGCAGTTATTTCTTTCTTTTTTTTTTTTGCATCACTATCAACTCACCTGATTTGAAACCTCTGCAGGTGAGAAGAAAGCCAGGTAAAAGAGACAAATGAGAACACAGGGAGGGATGAGATCATAAACTATGCTACAAGTTATCAAACATCCCCCCCAACAGTGATGTGAATTTCTTTTTAAAGTTGAGAAATGGAGAGGTGTAATTGATCTAACACAATCAATGTTTCCTCTGGAGGAAATTTAGCTTTTATTGATTTAAAAAGAGACATGAAGTAAACAAAAAACTGGAGAATATTCACATCTGTTTTTTTGTTGTTGTTTTTTTGCTCTGCAGAATTCAGTGCAGAGATTAAAATGTCAGAAGGCTATTTTTAGGAAAATGCAATTCAAATCCAAACTTGCAATCTTTAAAGTGGTCTCATTTAATACATTCTGAAGATAAACAGTATCTGTGATCAGATCACATAATCTGAGTGATATGTCATTCTTCAGATCGTCTAATGCATGCAAAGGTTCCAGCTCTATGGAATCACCTGATTGGTGTTAACATGCTTTCTATGACTGACAAATCATTATTCATTGCACTGATTCAACTTAATGAATCAGAATGTTGAAGAACTTAAATGTTCATAAAAAGAGAATATGAATAACTGTTAGAGTTAACTGCCCAAATAATAACAACAAAAAAGTGTTCAGTGCTGCAAGGACTGATACGGGAGGTTTTGTTATCAATGGCTTCAACTGCTGTATATGTGGGTTAATCTAATAGGATATTTTACAGAAGTCTAAATGATAATAAATGAAGTACATTTTGTCAAATATCAACTTTTGTCACATCAGTAAATATCTATAAACTATGTGCTGCTTTTAATGTGGCCTGTTATACATAGTATGTGTATTACGATAAAAAGAATAAAATTTACAGTGTGCTACTGCGCTTCTATTTTCCCCCCAGTTAATAATTATCACCAGAAGATACGAGGTTAAAAGGTCAATATTCTTTACTCAATCTATTATTGCTGTTAGGGGTTCAAATAATCTAGACGGGAGACAGAACTGGAAGTGGAGGAGCTGAAGATGCTGAGGTTCTCCTTGGGAGTGACAAGGACAGACAGGATTAACAACGAGGTCACCAGAGGTACAGCGCAGGTTAAACGACTGGGAGATAAAGTTAGACAGGCCAGTCTGAGACGGCTTGGACCTGTGCAGAAGAGCACTGGGAATATTGGTAGAAGGATGTTAGAATGAGAACAGAGGATGCAGAAAACAGAGTTAGATGGAGGAGGACTCAATGTGGCGACCCCTAAAAAGGAAACAGCAAAAGTAAAAAGGAAAAGAGAGGTTCAAACGATCATTAGCTAAATTTAACAGTAAAGCAGAGCGTCTCCTGCCATGTCAGGTACCAAGCATTTAACATGCAATGGTGAGTGAATTTTTACTGGTGTAGATAGTGTGTCTGCATGCATTACATAAATGATGCAAAGCTATTTTAGGGGAATTGCAACATTTGAGTAGAAGTGGCACATCTTTGAGGTATCTTTATGGTGTTTTATAATACATTTGCCTTCATGCAATGACTAAAATAACTAGTCTTGTAATATTGCCAGGATATTACAAGTCTAGTTATATTCAGAGAGCATGCTCGTTCTTTCCCTGAAACAGCTGCACTGTTTTTGCAAACCCTTCTTAAGGTCAAATAAATATTACCATCAACAAAATACAAATGCATGTTAAATATTGAGCTTTTAATTCACTTTTGTTAGGGATAATTTGCGTTTTCGGAGAAATTCAAAGTCTATTAAACCAAATCAGTGAAGAAACTCACAGCTATAGAAAGCTTATTTCATTCAGGCAACATCTGAAACTGTAATCCATAAATATTAGACGGCATGATTGATGGAAAAACGCTGTCGCATAA